GCCGGTGCGCTGTGGGAGGCTCGTTGTTTGTTCGCTGCTGCGGGAAGCGGTGGCGGCGCCGGCTCAGCCTGTGGCACTCTCCTGTTACACGGGGAGTGCTGGTGGAGGTTTGCGGCCAGCCCGAAACTCTTAGAAACTGTGGCGTGGTTCAGCGTTGCAAAACTGGGAACTGCGGGGAGGAAAAAAGCAAAGGACAAAAGGTAGTTTTCAGTAAGGGTATAAAAGAAAGAAGAGATAGAAAACTAGAGGAAGGCTGTAGTCGCTCAAAAATCTTTATTCTTTGGTGTTGGGGTTTTTTTCAGGGCAGCCAAATTTGATAATGAAAGCAATTAGTAAATAGCAGGAAATGAGTACGTAGCAGCAGTATTGCTATGCTGTTTGAGTTGTTGCTCTTGCTACCTGTTGACCCTGTTGGTAAGATTGCAGACTAACGAATGTATTTGCAACTGGGCATCTCTTGTAGGGTAGAGTTCAGGAATCATTAAGTTTAGCTATTATAGTCCTCATGCTTGTAAAAAAATGGGTTTGAATCAAATATGTTTGATTCATTGGTTGGGTTTTTTCCCCTAAATGTCCAGGTTAACTCATAGATTTAGATCTATTTTAGGATAAGACAAAAGTTTTGTTTTTTGTAGGCAGCCGGATGAGCAACTAGAGAGAATTTTAAATTCCAAGGATTAGGGCCAGTGTCTTGCCCAAAGGAATCCTAGTCAAGATTTGGAGCCACTAGGAATTACCATGATACAAATAATGGCTCTCCTTTTTGAGGTACAAATCCTGCCTGAAAACAGGAGATGGCCTCTGGCCTGCTGAAGCTGCTGCGCACTGAGGGTGGATAGTCATTGCTGAATTTGCAAGGCTGCATTCCACACAAGGCGCACACGTGTCTTCCCCAACTCATTCGCTGTGCAAAAGAACACCGGTGGCTTTGCTACAAGGAGTTTCGTTTTATCTTGTGTGGTTGGGTTGGGTCAAAATGAGAAAGTGCATGGGAGGATGAATACGTACTGTGTTTAAAAATTTATATTGTTGCATACAAATTATCAGAGGTGTTAACTGCATTGTAGTCTGAATGCCAAATATATTCCAAGCTCATGGAGAGGCCTGAGAGGCTTTGTTTATACTGGCTAGGGAATTCATGACCCGTGAATTGAGTTAAAGACTGCTCTTCAAATTCTCCTTAAATATGGATTTGATTAAACCAATTTCTCTAACAGTTTAGCCAGCTAGTGTGGAAGGTCATCTTTTGTCTGTGATATTTTTGTAGTCCAGTAAGAACGTGAGAGCAGAATTGGAAGGAGAAATGAGGGGCAAGAAAAGCACATCCTTAAAAACAATGCAGTATGATTCCTTTCTACATAATATTAAAAAGAGCTCAGACTGCTAAACCAGAGTGAATAAATTAACTACCTGTGATAACACACCAGTCTGCTGAAGAACTTGACTTGATACCTCAAATACATATATACATACGGAAGTTAAAATGAAAACTAGTTGATAAACAGGAGGGAATTAACATTATGAATGTATATAGAAAACTTGTATGTGCCAAAATGTTGATGCTTTCTATAACACATGAATCACAGAAAACACAGGTTAGAACAGTTGTGCTCTGTGCGTACACGAAACTCACTTTCTGAAGCTCGTTTATCAGAAAACAGGGCTCAACCTTTCTGTAATGGCAGGGTCCCTAAAAGACTCTTTGACAAAGAAAAAGTAAACTAAATGCTTTTATATTACATGTGCTCCTCAGAGCAGAGGGAGCAGCTAATGAAATTACCAAATTAAAAAAGGTTAGACCTTGCAGGATGCTCTGGGGTGCATGAGAGCTCTTCAGAGAAAACGTTCTAAACTCCTGATGTCTTGCTTAGTTTTCCCCCACCTTAATGCATGAGGGCAAGATATTCCTGCTATGTTTGTAAATCTTTTGAGGGGAATGGTGGAACTTCTGGTGTTTGAAATATCGTTACTTCTGCTACTTACCTAGGACAGTGGGAAAAGCCCAGCTGGGGAAAATGTGAGGATTTCTTTAAGCTTGGCTTAAAGATCCTAGGCTATGATTTGTCAAGGTCCCTAAGAAAGTTAGAAAATCAACTTGGACCAAATTCTTTTTGCTGTAGCTCAGGAAAGGCTCACTGACTTTTTATGCTTACAAAAATTTCTCCTTTAGCAAACAGCCTGGCTAAGAAATGGATTTAGTTGATCTTTCAGTATCTTAGAAAGTTTCCTGATACAAATATCAAGCCTTCTATTAATAAGGCCCATGAGGCTAATAAGCCTCTATAGTTGCTGTCTGACTGCTGAAGAACTGTTCAAGGAGTTAAAGTAGATTTCTTTTTCAGCAGAAAAAGTGCAAGATTTCTTAAAAGAAAAAGAAAAAGAAAAAATTAGGCTGAAAATCTCAGTCTTGAAACTTAATCTATCAAGAGTGAGTATGAAAAAATTCAATGTAAAGGCCAGTGCTTTGGAAATGCTAGTATGTACAAGCATTTTGCAAGTTTAGCAATTCTAGCAATAGGTAATTTCTGCTAACAACTACTGCAATTAGAAGGCTGCTATTTTAACTATGCAGTCAGTTCTTTCTCTTAGCTAAGTTGCTGTCTTTCTCTATCCTGTTGAAAATTTTACAGTTTCATTCCATGCAGTGATGTTTGTGTTCATTTATAGACATGAAGAAAACACAAGCCTTTAGTTTTCTGGATTTTCCCCAAGTAATTTTCTCTACTCTGTCAGTTTGAGCTGTTCCTTCTCTGCTGATTTAATTCGTCAAAATCTTCCAGCCCACTGTAGTCCTTTGGCATTCTCTTTTGTGCTGGATTTATACTTCTCAAATATCTTGAAGTATATCTGACTGATAGGAGGGCACATTGGGGGAAAAAAAAAAAAAGGTAATATTGAAAAATGAAATAGTTAATATTCTTTTTTTTTCCTCTGCTGCTTACAGAAGGACATGCACTGCTCAGTTTCCATATGTTCAATAGTCCTTCTTTTGCACTTTTTATATTGATACTCTCCTCAAAACACAAAGTTTACTTTCATTTCCTTGCTCTTCTTTCCTGGTCTCAACAGCAAATAAAAAGGAGGAAAAGGAAAGGCAGACTTCAGGGTATTCTTAAGGTATATAAATTTTCCCTACTCCTAAAAGACAACAAAATGTCTGGGTGTTTCTGAGAGAAAGGTTGTATTCACCTGCTTTAGACTAAAAAGAAAAATTATATATATCGTATCACATAGATAGCTGTTCTCTGTACAGCAAACAGGTGGTGTTGTGAAAATAATACATTTCTAATCTTTAGAAATGAGTTGCACAATTGAAAAAGCCTTAGCAGATGCGAAAGCACTGGTGGAACGGCTAAGGGAACATGACAACGCAGCAGAAGCTCTTATTGAACAGACTACAGCTCTTAACAAGCGGGTTGAAGCAATGAAACAGGTTTGTTTTTCAACTTTGTTTACTCCATTAAAAGACCAACTTGGAAACACGTAATTGAAAATCGTTTTTGTCTGCTACTGTACAATGTAGAATCAATATGTTATTTGGTTAATCCTTTAATACCATATTAAGTATTTTCATTATAGGAGTGACTATGATCTAAAATTAGGTTGTTTATATATTTAGTTTGAGCCTGTGAAGAAGTTTTCTCTGCTACTCTAGCTTAAATATTGAAAATTAGCATTTATTTGAAGAACACTGGTAGAAATGGGGTTGGTATCTTACAAACCATTGTGTGGTGTCTTGTGTTTTGCTCTTCTGTGAAACACTACTTGTTTTATTAATTTCAAGAGGCCCTGTCATGCTTTCTTCTATTCAGAATACTTTATCTTTTCACAGTCTCCTTTTGTTTCAAAGCAGCCTCTTAGGCTTATTCGTGATCATTTCCGTTCTGATGTTAAGCTATTCAAGGCCTGTTGTTGGATTGAGCGTGACTTTCACTAGAGAACTTCTGGAAAAACACAAAGGTGTCTACTGACTTTCCATATGGGAGTTTATCCTGTCATTTTAATAGAACACAGGACATGTTAATGAGCCTCTAAAATAATAAAACCCTGCATGTGCTTCATCCCTGTAAAACTAGTCATGCAGAGGCTTCATAACTTCAAATCAAGAATATTAAATTTACCCATTTGTTGAGAGTCAGGATCCATTCATTCAGGTACATGTGACTTGTACCCATACAACCTTGTGGTTTAAGGTATTGGGAAGCCACAGTAAATATCTAGAGGTTAACACCTCATGGTTTTTCTTTACCATATGTATATCAGTTTTAAATTACTTGATGGTGAATTTGACCTGCATTAATTGAAGGTTAAATAATGCCCACTGCACACATCTGAGGTATGAAACTTGTTTAAAAACAAAGGTGACACTTTTGTGTCTCTAAAGGGCAGTATGTTAGCAACACCTTCAGAAGTGTGTTTGTTTGTTTGATATTATTATTTAAAAGCAAGCATTATCTTGCTGGTTACAGACTTTGACTGACATTAGAACTGGTCCTTTGTGACTTGCTGAGTAATGCTTGCGTTCGGTAACTCAACTATGTTGTGGTTGTTTTGTGTTTGGTTTTTGTTTTTTTTTTTAATAACTAGTACCAAGAAGAAATTCAAGAGCTCAACGAAGTAGCAAGACATCGTCCTCGGTCTACGTTAGTGATGGGTATCCAACAAGAAAACAGACAGATTAGAGAGTTGCAACAGGAAAATAAAGGTAAAACATGAATATTCTAACCTTTACAAGTTCCAGCCTGCACCCCTGGAATTAGTGAGACTTTTACCATTGTCCTATTCTCAAAAAATTGTTGTAGAAGGAATTTTTTCTTCTAATCTCAATTTGTCAGTTCAACTGATCATAATGCAATCTAATAGAGTCCTAATGTCCAACCACTGGGACTATGATTAACAAAAAGAGAGACTTGTGGAAAATTACTTTTTCAGTCCTTATCTAATGTTCAGTACAAGTGAGGAGATAAATATAACTTACTTCTACAATATAGGTATCTATTTGGGAATAGCAGTTTTCCCACTGCTAAAAATAACTAACTTAGGAGCAGTCAGGACAAGTTGTAGTTTAAGTGCAGTAGTGTAATTCCTTCTGGAATTCTGTACACTAGAAATATATTGTTCCTCCTGGAATACCTTAGGTATTCTGACAGTTACATTCAGCAAAGGAGTCAATGATCTTGATTTGTATGAATCTTGTCTTATCTCAGGAGTTATTTGTCCTTTGACTTAGTATATTTTGAACATAAGCATTTTTTAACTCTTATTTTACCAAGCTGCAGATTAAAACAGATCTGTAAACTTCTTTCCAGCTTTTGTACAGTGTTGCTTATAGTGGCTAGAGTAAAGCTCCTCAGCTACATTCAAGATGGCTTATATCAGCTAAAGGGATTGAATATGAAGTCATATTAACAAAAGACCTTCTGTTCCTGACTGAATAAGAATTTTCCCAGGGCAGTCACCACTGAAGACATTTGCAGAGCCTATGTAGATTTTATGGTGCAAGGAGAGGGGACACTCAATTAAGGGTTTATTTAGGTTTTCTCAAGCTGAAGTACTTTTGCATTTTGTTTCAGTTCTTCTCTGTTAAACTTTAACTGAATTTAAAATTATATTGGTAGAACTACGCACATCTCTTGAAGAACATCAGTCTGCTTTGGAACTCATAATGAGCAAGTACAGAGAACAGATGTTTAGGTTGCTTATGGCCAGCAAAAAGGATGATCCAAGTATAATAATGAAGTTAAAAGAGCAACATTCCAAGGTAATAACTTCATTGGGGTTTTGCCTTTGTTTTTTTAGTTAACGCTTGTAGTGGATCAGTTCAAAGCTTACTTTGTCTCAGTTTTTGTATCATTGTGCTAACAAGTCCTACTTTTTTTAATCCAGTCCATGTAACACGAACAGGAAACTTGATCAATCTAGTAAGTCAACCTTATTAGCTTCTGATTTATTTAAGCTTTTATCAAGTAGCATTTCATTACTCTATCTACTTAATTTACTTCTGTTTTGCCTAGATCTTTAAGGCAACTGCCCTATTATACTTCCAGATGCCCATAGATCTCAGTAACATTCAAACATTTAGACTGGCTTTAACTTACGCTTGTGACTCCAAGAAATAATTAGTAAACCTGTGCTTACTGGGGAGAGTAGGAGGAGTAAGCTTTTTAAATTCAATATTCAAGTATTTTTTTCCCCTAAATACTGTAATTTTTAAAAAAAATATATTTTCAAAGCTCTTTTGAATATTGAATATTGAGCACATACTTCTCCTCTTTCCTGCTTCAATCCTTGGTTCGTGTTTCGGTACTGATCAGGATTGCTAAGTAGAATCCAGGGCAGCCTGAGATGCTTGAAGGGTGGTGAAAGTTGCTAGTATTAGGTGTGCTTCATCTTACGGCTTTTGAAAACTAGAAAAGCAAAGTGCCGTCAAGCAATATTTTTGTAAACTATCATGAGGGAGGTATATATGAGTATTCAGCAGCTTCATATAAGGTTAATATATGGTTTTATAGCATTAATACATAGTTTAGGCTTTTTTAATGTATTTTCAGGAAAAATCATGATTCTAGGTCACTAACAGATCTAAACAGCTTTCTAACAAAGTATTATATTACATTTTAAATGAAATGTAATCATCTCAGAGCAGTGTAACTGTGTAGACAAACATTAGTTCTAACTGTTTAATAATCTTTGACCTCAACAAACTAAGTCTGCAAAGCGGAGTTAGGGTCTGCATACTGGGAAAAAAAAGTTTAAGAATTTGATGTTTTATCTCCTTACAAAATCACATGTATGTAATTATTGCCATTGAAATCAGTGGGACTACTTAGTTGGTATGAAAGAATTTACTGGATTAGAACTATATCTTTAACATCAACTCCTAAAAAATGATAGGTATATATCCTTTTCAAAAGAAGTTACCTTGGCATATAGTATAATATGTTTTGCAGCCTCAAGAGTATCAAGACAAGAGGGTAAAATGATACCTGTCCTGAAATGGACTGTAAAATTTCATTTAGGAACACTTCTATGGGTTCAAAGCTTGGGGTTAAAAAAAAAAAAGAGAGAACACTGAACAATATTTATTTAAATAGGAGATTTAGGCTTCAACATTTTGGTTAAACCTGATCCCACAAGAATGCCTGATCAAGAGGATTTATCACCCTTAACCTGACACTTAGGATTTCTGGAATTTCATTATTTATTCTTCTGATCAGCCTTCACATTCAGTAAGACTGAATAATCTTGAAGCAGTCTTTAAATACTTCTCTCCTGTTAACTAAAAAATCCATTATACCTAAGGAATTAATCTCGCTGTTACCAGTAATTGCTCTTCTCTCAAGTGGCAGCTATTAACTAAGCTAATGCCTGTTTACAAAAGATTATTACAAAATCATTGATTTCTGCAGATCAAGAAGCACCTCCTTTAAATAGAAAAACAATTTCTTTTAGCAGTGTTGTATGCAAGAGAAAAGCATGTGTTGGTAGTAATGGCCCTGATCCAAGTGTGCTGTTTGACTTTGCTCAACTGAAACAAGGCCTAAAAATGCATGTGTTTTTTTTTTTCCTCTTCAGAGAAAAGAAACAATGCATGCAAATAAAAAGGTGAGAGATACAAAAAGTGTTTGTAGATGTTTGAGGCTGTAAAGAAACACTTTCATTGCATTGTTTGATATTACAGCATCTAAGTTTTACACATCTGCCTTCCAGAGTAGAACCTTACAGTTTTGTGTCAGCATCTGATCTAACATTAGTGACCTTGGAACAGGCCCTAAATCATATTGATTAAGAGGCCACGTAAGCTGGCAAAATACAAAGTAGGTAGGACAGCAGTATATCTAAAAACCACTAACTCCTTCCCAGTCCTTCTCAAGGGTCCATCCTTGCCGACTCGTTCTGTTACTACTGATCACAGCTTCCTTTAAGCTAAATCTAGATTTTCATTGAAAAAATATTTCATGTAATCACCTTCACTGGAAACTGAGAAGAAAATAAAGATGTACAGCAAATTCTTTCCCTCCCTGCCAGCCCCATGCTGTGAGTGGGCATTTAATGAGTAAACAGCTAAACCATAGCTTTGGCAATTGGAAAGGATGGAAAGGGCTGATGTTCATTTTAGTAAAGGATATTTGTTTTCATCAGGTAAAGTTTATGATTCCAAGTGAGGCAGTTCTTTATGGTAGTTTAATCATTTCTGGTAGCATAAAGGCAAGCTGATCATCAGCTACATGTATGGACCACCAGTCAAACTCATAATTTAAAGGTGGGATTTAACTTTAGCCTATACTATTCTTCATTTCAGTTCTACTGTTCTGCTTTTCCCGATATTAGTTAGTAACTATTGTGAATTTTGTCCAAAGGTCAGGTCACACATGAATAGGCTGGCATGATAGTAGATTTGGAATAAAAGACAAGTTGAGGAAAAGACAATGAAAAATAAAAGCTTCTGGAAATACAATTAAAATATTTGGCTTAAATGAACAGCAGTGAATACCAAAGAGGCATAGGCTCTTTATCTAGATCTGCAGGGGAAAAGAAGTAGTGGCCCTTTAACTATTTCCTGCTGGTAGGTTGGCCAGTGAGAGAGTAAACTGTCACCTGAACCAACAAGGTCCAGGTAAGAGATCACTTCTTTGCAAATAATGGAGGTTATCTAAAATCTGGCTTCCTTGCAAAGGCTGTTATGCCTATGTTAATGGCTCTTATCATCCTACTCCTGGTAGTGGAACAGGACAAGAGCAAACCAAACTACTGCTCTTTTTTTCCTCCTTCTTCAATCTTAAAGTGAGATGTGGTAGTTATTTATTTATAATAGGAAAGTACCCTGGCTAGCATTAATGAATGGACACAAAGAGGTCCGTCAGGACACAAAAGTTTTTCTTACAATTCAGCAAGGACAAGGACCTCTGAAGTCCAGATCCCAGATAAGCTGGAATTGGGAGTGGATTCAAGCAGAAGTATCTAAAAAAGAGCAAAGGAAAGATCTGAGTTTCCTAATATATGACACAGTAAGGATTACCACTTCACCTGGTCTTTTTAAGAGATAAATGCCTACCCATGGGCTGGTACTGGCTGTACCAGACTTGAGATCAGCTTAAAACAAATGGAAAGAATGTCGCATACCCTGCAGTTCTTAGGTGAGTTTAGTCTTTCTGCATATCCAAAATTATATACATCAACTCCTGCAACTCAGGGGGGCCTTATCAGAGCAAGCACGTGGTTAACTTGTAGCCGTTTGGAACATGTGGAAGCTATGGAAGACATAGTCATTTAAGCTTATATAAAATTCTAATAAAAGGGATCACTGTGTGGCAAACTAGATTTATTTAAATAAATATTTAAATAAACACCACTGCAATGGCTGCTCATGCTGTAAAGTTATAGAGAACTTGTTTTCTCAAATTTAGGCCTCTGTTCACATTTTTATTAAGTGGCACAGCAGTTAAAATTCACATTTAATGCTTTGCTTATTTTTAATAATGCAGAAAATATATTACTAAAGCTGTCATTATTTTATTGTTATGTCAGGAGCTGCAAGTGCATGTGGACCAAATTACAGAAATGGCAGCAGTAATGCGAAAAGCCATTGAAATTGATGAAAAGCATGGCTGTAAAGAGCAGGAACGTATCATTCAGCTTGAGGTAAGTATGAAATCAAAACAGCAGTGGCACAAATAGCAAGGGAGTAAATGTTACCACAATTATTTATATTGAGTTACTGTATCTCTTGAGAGTTACTGTACCAGTCACTCATACTGCTATTTTGTTACACTTTCCTTGTTGGGAGGACTATAAGTACTATTTTTTCCCCCTGTAGCTCACTGTTGAGTCTTGCATAGGTGATACTTCATCACCAGAAATCAGTGATTTATATTTATATACCGGCTTAAGCTTTCTCTCTTTTTTTTTTTTTTAAGTCTCCATGTAGCAAAAAAGCTAGAAAATAATACAAATTCATCCTAATGAATAAGACACTAGGAAGCAAATTTGGCTTTTAAATATTACTTTTTTTTTAATAATAATTTTGTGCTTGAGGGGGGTCTCAGTTGCTTATCATTGGAGGGTCAACGCTATTGCTCTTTTATTAAGTGCTAGCAAAGTAGTTCATTATGGGACATGATGTCTGGAAAGAATGGGAGATTTTTTTGAAATGCAACATTTGAACTTAATTACCCTCTTACCCATCTTTGTGTTTTGAGCTTTTTTTTGATGCTTAATGCCCATTCAAGAGAGCAAGAGGGTCAGAAACCTAATGTTCTTAGTTTCAGAAGATAACATAGCACTACCTGACTGCAAATCAGTATTTGAATCCTTCCACATATGTTTGGAGTAGAGGGGACGGGAGATTATTAATGCAGTTATCTTGACTTCTTTGTGGCATTTTATTAATGCCTTTTCTTTCTCCGGGTTATAGCAAGAAAACAAAGGCTTGAGAGAAATTCTTCAAATAACTAGAGAATCATTCCTGAACCTCAAGAAAGAAGATGCATCAGAGAGTACGTCTCTGTCAGGATTAGTAACAAGCAGTGATTTGAGCCTGAGGAAAAGCTAAAGACTGTGGAAATCAACAAGCTTCAATTGCACACTTTTCAAACAGAGTATCAGGGGTCACTTGTCAAGCACTTGTTACTGAATAGGGCACCAGCAAGCTAACGCATCTTAAACTCCAGTTTAGTGGCTTTTATACTGCGTAGAATAAATTAAAATTGGTATTCTACAAAAACCGTAGTGACAGATTAATTGCCATAGATCTAACTTCAGTCAGAAATGGATTATTGCGCTTACTGAATTGGGATTTATTTTTATATGAAGTCATTTTACAGCTAAAAGACAAGATTTCACATAATTTATATAAATTATTGCTCATACAAAGTTTCACTGCACCTGTTATATAATAAAGGTAAGATTTAAAGTCTGATCTCTGCTAAAAAGTAGTAATTTATGAATATGCTTTGTGCATGATCTACATTACATTTTTTCCTTTTAGTAAGTTTTTAATAAATTCTCATTTTGCAACAAACCTGTTTAATGGAAAGGGTACATAGGCAGCATAAAACTTAAAGATTTCTGTTACTTAGCCATGGGGTATCCTGTTCAAATATAAGGCCAATTGTTTAAACATAAGCAATGCTTTTGCTGTTGTTCAATATTTATTTTTTTAAATTGAACAAGATTCTTTAAAAGCATGTATACTTAATTGTATTTTCAAAACATGAAAAGAGATGCTCCCACTTTGTTTTCTGGAAAGCAGGTAGCATAATATAATTCTGCCTTAGCTTTTACTTTTATGAGAGAAAACCAGGCGCAGTGCTCTGTAGCTAAGAAGCCATGTTAGTCCCATCTATTCCTTTGCCGATTGCCTGCCCAAACTTCCTAACTGGGAAATGGCAATTTTAAAGCACCCAAACAGCAGCAGAAAGGTGGCTGGGGGAAGGAGGGAGAAGCTCTATGGCAAAGTTGGCAGCCTGCATGCCTGCAATCAATGCTCTTACTTTTTCTTTCTTAAGTACTAGTCATCAAGAAGGTTTTTAGGTAAGTTTCAGGTAAGTGTTAATGTTTGCACCAGGAAAAGTTTCAGTATGCTATACTGACAAATAGACTGCTCGCTTTTAATCCTGAAATACACAGAAGTGAAAAGGAATTGGCTTTTCTAGATCAAAGTGCAGCTTGTATTGTATACAGATATGACGGAAGTGCTGCACAAGACAGGCTTATAGTAAAGAGGTGCCGAAGTAATTCATACTTGGCTTTTGCTTGTCAGACTACCACTTCTTGGTCAAGGCAGCAAAGGCATTCCTAGAGTTGATGTGTATCATCACTTTTTGTCCAGCACGTTAATGTATTCTTTACTTGGAATGCATACCCAAAGAAGCAGAGTGAAAGCTTTCAACCACAGAAAATTGTAGATCTACAAGTGCCACCCACAGTTGAGTATTTTGGCTGTTTAATAACTCACCTAGCAAAATGAGTTGAACTCCTATTCTGAAATCAACTATTACGTAATCAAATTTGATTTTCAGTTACAAAAGCATCAAGCACTTCTAAGTGTGTCAGTTTTAAATACAGCTTCCTTTGACTCGGTACAGCTTCCCTGGGCTCGAGGCAAATGCACCACAGGTCTAAGGGTGAACTTTCAGTTCCCAGTGAACTAATTTATACAGAGCTAAATATTTTTGTTCTGTTGCTGTCAGTTGCTGCCCTCCTTCCCATAGTGCTTTTAAGAGAAACAAGTGACATGGTGGGAAAGAGGAATGTTTAGCAGAGACAATAAATGCTAGTTTTCAATTAACTAATACATGTACCAGGAAATGCTGTTGAAGAGCTCAGAAAGGACAGATAAATCAAGCTCTCTAAATTTTCACAGCTTTTTTTATAAATGGAGAAACTGCTACTTCTCTTTCCAGAGCATCTTAGCTTGTTTCTAGGCTTAAGAATATATTGAAGACATTCATGTGCATGGAAAAAAAGTTCTAACCATTTCGAAACTTGCTAAACATCTGGGGGGAATTTTGGGGGGAACATTTTAGCTCAAGCACAAAATCTACTTGTCTGCTATTATTATCTGTAAAACTTTGCCAATGCTTCTATAATTTAGATTTTGCATTTCTACTGTAGCTTGCAAGCTGGTGACTTATCAGAAGCAACATCTTTTTTTAATGGAGTGTTTTGTTGTTGCAAACTTATGAGAAATTCTGGTTTCAGTTGATTAAGTTATTTTTAGAAGTGTCTTTTCAGCCATTGACTGATATCAGAGGCATTTATATCCATTTAATGCTGAATGCAGTTTCATGGCTGACTGCCTGGTTTGTCTTTCAAATACAATCTCCAGAGTTGTATAGCAGAGAAGGGTTGTTAGTCTGTGGCAGTTCTTTAAGGTTGCTCTATTATGAAATAATGCTTGATTAGTGTTTATTTTTGTAAATTAAAAATATGTGACTTAATTTATCTACTCTTAGTGTTCACGTTTGATACGTCTCCCCTATCAGTCCCCTGACCTGATCACTTTAGGATTTTAAAGAACCTTCACAGTGTGTGGAGTGACTATTTTTCATTGCATACCTGTTATTTTTGTAATGCAGATGGCTTGAAAAGAATTTATGGCTAGAATTGTGTACTGTACAGTAAACTTATTTTATCAATAAAGTTGACTGAAAATATGGCTGTCTTCATGATTAAAGCAAGTTACTGAATCTGAAATGAGACTTGTTAGTAACATGTAAGAAAGACATCATTTTGCCATTTACTCAGCTTATTTTTATACTTTAAGGCAGGCATGCCAATTTCTAGTGCTTTTATTCATGTTGCTATATAGCAAAAGAAGAAAATCCTATGTGAAGTCTTCATTTTCTCTTGGAAAACTAACAATCGCTTCTGCACAGGTAGTTACTCATCTTTCAAATGAACCACTGGAACTTTACTAATACAGAGGAGCAGTAAGGATAAACAAAAAAGCAGTCCACTGGGCTTTGATTTTTGGATCAAAACATATTGTGGTACAGAGATTGTGACAGTTGTGGTTTTTTCTTGAAGATTAAAAAAAGTCATTTTTGAGTTGGTTCAAGCTCTGGGTTCCTTTCTCTGGGATGTGTAAATGAGAATGGCAGTGGATTATATTCAGAAGCTGACAATGTAATGTTTTCTCTACTTCCCCATGATTTCTCAGAAGAGAAATTTTTTTTCCAGTATCATAAACTCTGTGTTTAAAGACAGGTAATAAATGTCAAACTAAGTCATAAATACATGTAGCAGCTCTTCAACCGAGGTAAAACTGAAGGGCAGCTTGAAACTAATTTGGGCTGCTTTGTATAACCAAAAGCTTTAAATAGCTTTGGCTTTTTAACAACACATTGGATTACAAGATTATCTTAAAATACAGAACTAGTGGCACTGTTTTCATGCAGAATTACATTTACTAGGATCCCTTTGTAGATACGCAAAATAAGATTTACATTGGCTTAGGAAGTTTTCAGTTTTAGTTGGTAAACATTAAGCTTTAAAAGCACTTTTGCTGATTAAAAAAAGAATTTCTAAATCTCCTATTTGAGTGTAAAACATGCACCTGTGCTTTCTGCAGATACGGATGTCTGAGATGACAGGTGGTTAAATTGGCTAACAGAACACTGTAGTGCTGGTCACAGCATGACAGGTTGTATACAGTGACAGTGGGAAGATGAGACAGGAGAGCAAAAGAAATCCTAAGTTGGAAGCAAAGGAACACGGTAGAGGAGTAAGCTTTAACATTAGACAACTTCTTTACCAGCCTGTTCACCATCATGCTGTTGGTAACACTTGAGTTCTGGAAGCAGCATCAAGCTACACATTGCTACCAGAGACCAAATAAAAGGAGAAAAAGCAACAAGATGCAGTGGGAACACCATTCAGCTGCAGGTGTCCAAGAGCTGCCAGCTGTCTGCACGATTGTCACAGAAGGTATCTTCTCAGAAGGATTCATTTAACTTGGTGTGCAAATGAAACTATCTCATTTCTGAACATTCGAGGAAGCAGGTAGGCAAGCTGCCTTACATGTGTAGCACTCCATGAAGCAGTAGTCAGGCTGGGTTTGTGTTTTTAAAGTGAGGAAGGAGACACAAGAACAAAGGAAGATCTGCTTCTTCAAAAAGATCGGTGTCCTCAAGTCCACTTGTGCCACAGCTTGTTTAACTGCTAGGAGAAATTAGCATGGGTGTGAGTGAGGGGAGAAGGAAGACGGCTTCTGCAGATTTGAGGCAGGACTGGAACATGTGCAGACCTAGGAAAGCTCTACAAGCAGCTAAGACAAATACCACAACGTGATCATTGTGGCATTATTATGGTGCAGCGAAGACTGCAGAAGACTCAGTGAAAGAAGTGTACTGGAGCCACCATGGCAGGAGAATTCTCTACAGCAGCAGGAAGTAGATCATCAGCATCATAGTCCAGAAAGCTTCAGCTTACATGAAGCTTCAAAACACTTGATTTTACAGGGGAATCACTACCTAGAAGAACATAGTTTAGATTTAGATTCCCCAGGAGCGTCAGATAGCATTATTTTAAGCTAGCAAAACTGCAGGGTAGTGCAGCTAACACAGCAAGGCAGTAAATGCTTTCAATGAGAGATTCTGCAGTCAGAACAGAGGCATAGCAGGGTAGGATCCAGTTTTCCTTTTGCCTCAGGGGGTACACAAAAAAAGCCTTGAAAATTACCTCTTTAACACCCCAGTGGATCAGTTAGTGAGTAACAGTGATAATAATCAGAACACACTATGGGTTACAGAATATGGAAGAAAATTCCCATACCATCTCTTAGCAGTATTAAAAAAAAAGAGACAGAATTTCCAAGTCAGGATCTCAGAAGAAGAGTTCAAAGCCCAGTTCTGCCATAGACTTCCTACATGATCTTGCAGACTAGTTTCCAGTCAAGAAGTAGATGACAACTATCCTTTTGTTCTCTAGAACCTCATGTGACAAAGCTATAAAAAAGCCTCTTCGGACCATGCACTTTCTCACTGGTTTCATACAGAACATAACCACGCTCTCAGCCTCTGGGTGTCACTACAGTAAGTCCTTACAACAGGTCAGCTAAGCCCCACCCCCCCACATACCTCATCCCTTGAAGGTAGGCTAAGAAATTTTTCAAAACAAACTATCCTTACAATACCAAAGGCAGAAGCTAAGTTGTAAAAGCATCATTGAATTCAAAGAGACCCCTTTAGTTCCAATAGTCTTTCAGAAGACATCTTTATTATAAAAGATATAGAAAATTAGAGTTAAACTTGTTTCTTCCACAATGTTAATCACAGCAGTTATAAAAAAACAAGGTAAACATGTTTTAAGAGCATTTATATACCAAATAAGTGTTTGCTACTTGCCATCGAATACGGCAAAGACATGCTCAGTATCAGTGCGGTAAGGGCAGTCAGCAAGCATCAATCTGCCAGAGGCCAGGGGAAGAGCACGTGTGCCACACAACACCACAGTGAGGCAAGACCTAAACTGCAAGATCTCAGCCTTGCTCTGCTGTTTGAGGCAGATGTTCCAGCTCCAAGCAACCATGGGATTTGTCTCTCTAAACATCAGCTCAGCTCAGTCACCTCAGATACTGTGTCATTAAGCTTTCACTCAAAGAAAAATGGCCAGTAAGTAAAGTCATTTTAAAGTAATTAA